GTCATGAATGTATCTGGCCTTTGTTAGTGGTCATGAGACACACACAAACCTGTTATGACTAACTGACTGATTCCCTCCTTTTATGTTCATCCAGACTTGTGGCGGCAATTGATGAATTTTCACTGATCTGTCACACTGACAGAGCTCTTCAACACAGTGGCGCTTTGACATCAAGTGCCACATGGAAAGGTCACCATATTGCTCCTTTTGAGGGAAATGCCACTGTCAAAGTGAGTCAGATACAATAACAAAGAGAATGCAGCAATCCACGCTTTCATTCATTTCACCTTAACCCTGTTTGTTGCACGTGTTATTTACAATCCATTTAGTGTTACATGGGATCACTTCCCAACAGTGTTTGGCTTTGAATTCTCTTTATTTAGATGACTCATGCACTTACCAAAATGTTCAAAATCATTGCTTGGATTAAACTGCAGATTATCAGTTACCAAGCAACCACTTTCAGCTTTAACTGCTGTCCTAATATGAAAAGGTCAGAATTGGGAAGAAAAGTGTAGTTTGAAAAAAAACCTGACAGCTGAAAAAAGAAAAAAATTACAGCCTAAGGCGTTGACAAGCCTCTCCATTTTCTGTTTTCTTTCTTTCCTTCTTCTCTGTGGATTTTGGAAGTACAGCTTCTTACGTGCCCTGTTATTTTGTTCTTGATTAATTTACCATTATACCACACACCAAAAGTATGTATTGACTAAGTGCCAAGCCGTCTACATATAATACATATAAAACTAAATTCCATGTAATTTGCACCTGCATATCCAGTTCAAATTTGTCCTCTCCACATGACATTTATGAATGAAGTTTTCTGATGCCTCTAGTTTTTAAACATTTTTTCAATTTTAGTTAAGAAACATTAAATGAAGGTCTCTATTAGAATTTTTTAGTGCTAAAGCTTTTGGGAGAACAGTTAAGTGTTGAGAGCAACACTCCCATCTAATGGTAGAAAACTGCAAAAGAAGCATACCGGATATGATGTTTTAATGTGCCTGAATGTATCTTTTGGAACAGGGGGGTGGCTTATTTCTACTTCGGTTATTCCCATCTATTGCTGTAGTAAAAATGTCATGGGAAAAACTTGGGAAGCTGTAATCAGCTGAACAGTGCTGGGAGACCAGAAAAGTATCAATTCTGTCTTAAGTCCAGTAGATGTCAGTCTTCTCTAAAATATATTTTCACAAATCTTACAACCCCAGAGGCTCAACATGAAAGAAATGGTTGAATCAGGCACCTAGGACTTCACTCACCAGGTTTTGTGCTGACAATAAAATTTGAGAAAGTAGAGCACCGTCTTTGAGCAACTATGTTTTTTTTTCCAAGTCATTACACACATCAGAGGGTTACACAATAATACCATCTGGGTGGAAAGCTGCACCGTCACGTTGAAATGCTGAGCTAGCCATCCATACTGTACAACCTGAGGGGAAACAGAAGAAGTGTGTCTTGGAAACGACCACGTTAACTCAATAAAAACACCTGGGCACTTTGGTTTAATGGTGGAGGGAAGCAAATGTACCTTTCTGGCAATATTGTTGCATTTGTTAACACATAATTAGTTTAATACATTTAGTTGATTTTCAGGGTGAAAGTACAGTCATTAAATGAGTATTGGCAGGTATGATATTAACTTAATAAATCATTATATAGCTTTCTGGAATAAATGTTTGATTAAATGAGTCAAAATAAACAGAAATAAGTGAATATATCAAGACAATAAAAATGAATTTATATAATTATTTATTCACTTAGGCTGTATAAAAGCACCACACACTTGTTCAACTACCTTTTAGGAATAAAAATAATTGTGTAGACCTGGCTATTTCTGTGTCTGAATATGTACTGACACACCTATATATCTGTATGCACTTCAGTACATCACTTCTGCCTTAACATCTGTGTTTATGAAGCTCAGAATGTTTCAATTTTTGGTGAAATTGTCATAGTTAAAGGTGGTGTTGTACTGGGTTGCATTATATTTAGAGGTGAGTATATTTTTGTCCCCAGCTACACACATGGGAGGGTGAGAATATTGGGAACATTCGAGTATATTCTGTATAATTATTTCTGCTTTTACAAGATGAAAAAGTATCAGTTAAGTGGTCTTGAAATTTGCTTGAAGTTCTGCATTTTTTATTTTAATTGGTTGAAATTAAAATATAGTCAACCTTCAGTAATCAAGGAGTAGTCATTATGTGATCTAGATTCATCTTTGTATTTTGCATGTTGCTCCTAAAAGACAACATTTTTTAAATTATTCAAGCTTAAGCTAAATGTGTATAAACGTGCTGACAGAGTAGCCAGTATAACTACAGTGTAATATTTATGAGGTTCACTGATAGGCTGGCATGCCAATGTATGCTGGGATAGATTCCAACCGCCTGATGGATGGTTGGATAACATTAATAACTGCAACAAAATCAAGTACAGTATGAGTGTATTTTTATATGAATCGTGTCTACAATAAATATTTAGACTGAGAATATAAAACCAACACACACCATGATGTCATGGTCATTCAATGCATTTATTTATTCTAATATTGTTAGCAGAATCCCCTCGTTTTTTCAGGTCTGACAAGAAAAATGGCAGATTAAATATTACACGCCAAAAGGCTTTTAGACTGGTTATTTCATCATAAGACTTTTAACATGTACACAGAAATTCTTACACTAAGAAAGGTCTCTTCCATTATCACCGAGGTGTTGGTAATACTGGTATCTTCCATCAGGCAAGCCATTCTTTAGCAACACTTAAAATCATACAAATAAACATGTAAATAAAAATAAATCAGCTTCTAGGAGAAATGCGCTCTCATGGAGTGGCAGTACAAGTTCATTAAAACCTTCCTTTAACAAAGTGGCATGTCACACATAACTGGGAATGGCAGTATAATTTAGACCGAAAAGCCATTTTGGCCTTTATTCATTACAATATATTATTTACACCATAATCTAAGCATTTCAATTTTTCTTACCCCAAAATTGGTGAAGCAAGGATTTAGAAATCACAGAAATAAGAAACCTCAATTTTAACAGTATATTCTCTCTCTTTTTTTTTTTTTTTTTTTACTTATAGGCCTATTTCCTGTGCTCAGGCATGGAATAAACAGAGAGGGCTGATATATATATAAATCAGAAAACAAAAGGTGCCAACTGCAACTTGGAAACAGACCCTGATTCCTGTAACAGATTTATTCATGAGTCACTCTTTGAAGATGAGTTTTGTATCTACACATTTTTAATATTCCAAGCTAATGAATGCACAGTTAATGACTTTCATTTAATTTGAAATAATACAGTGATAACGCACACAAATGCACGCACATTTGTTCAGCTAACTCTAACCTAATCTTATTTGAACCTTAACCCTAAAACCAAGTCATAACACTGAAACAGCCCTTTGAAGGCATGTCAGAAAGTAAGGACCGGCCAAAAATATCCTCAAATTCCCAAAATGTCCTCATTCCCAAGCTATAAAACTCAAACTGGCCCTCACGATGTATAGCCATACAAGCACTCAGACATACTTATGTATATACCTGTACAATATAATTTGGGTTTATAGCACATTTACATCACCAGAAGTAGTGTTTCATCAGTATTTTATTATTAGATATGTGGCACCTCTGCGTCTCATGCAGTACTCATGCCATCTGTCACTGGGGAACATTGTATTTCCCACAGCCTGTCACACAGCACTGCAGCATGTCGGTTTATTAAAAGACATTTTCAAAGTAAATGTACTTTTGGAAACTGCCATTTTAAAAAGAAATCTTCCTGTAGACCAGCAGCGATAAGATGAACAGTAAATGCAACACACTGCACTATAGACTGTGGTTAAAGAAGTACTCAGATTCTTTACCGAAATACAACAGGGCTTTTTCCACAAAGGACACTTTAACTTGTCATAGTAGAAGCATCAGTAACATTACAGATGGTTCTGTTCTGTCCTCTTCAAATCCAGTGGCTGCAAGTAACTAAGTACTGAAGCGCTGTATTTAGAGTAAGTAAAATTTTGAGGTACTTGTAGAACAACAGTAAAGAGATGTTTCAATTAATGTATCAATATTAAAAATCTAATAATCTCATTTATATCAGTCACTAGATCCATTTTACTGTACAACCCCTACTGTTATTTTGACATCTAAAAGTACATTTAGCTGACAATGCTTCTGTGTTTCAGGATTTGAATCTTTACTTTTAATAGAGTATTTTTACATTGATACCATTGTTTAAGTAGAGGATCTGGGTACTTTTCCAATACTGCTACAACAGAAATGATTTGAATATATGAATTCAGCAGTAAATTACACACAGAATAAATCAATATTCAGAGTTGCAGCAAGTAGCTGCACTTGAAACTCTTGATCCAGTATAATCAATGTGCTATAAACCTTGTTCTGCACCAACCATCCACACACTCACTGAATTCATACAGACATAAATGCACTCTTGTGGCTCAAACACCCAAACCTCTACACATGCAATACAGTCATGTGAAAAAATTAGCACACCCTTTGAAAGCATGTGTATTTTGTAACATGTTTTAATATATGGTTATTTAATCTCAATTTTAACAATACAGAGAGATTAAAGTAATACAACTAAACAAGTAAAACTGAAGAAAAGTCTTTTCAAGATCTTCTGTAAATGTAATTCTACAAAAATGCCTATTCCAACTGAGGAAAAAGTTAGCACACCCTAGCCCCTAATAGCTAGTGTTACCTCCTTTGGCTGAAATAACTGCAGTGAGACGGTTCTTGTAGCCATCTAATAGTCTCTGACATCGGTCTGAGGGAATTTTATCCCACTCCTCAATGCAGAATTGTTTCAGCTGTGAGATGTTTGAGGGGTTTCTTGCATGTACAGCCCTTTTCAAGTCACCCCACAGCATCTCAATGGGATTCAGGTCTGGACTTTGACTCGGCCATTCCAGGACTCTCCATTTCTTCTTTTTCAGCCAGTCTTTAGTTGATTTACTAGGACAAAACATGGGTGAAAATGAAACAAAACCATGCCATCTGAGGTATAAGTACATACAATCAAAAAATATACATGAGAAATTACTGTTAAATAGCAGCAGCTATATGACTTTAATGCTGACATTTAGGTAACATTTAATTTCATAAGTAGGAATTCTGAGTGAATATGAAATAAGAGAAATAAAAAGCATCAGCCAACCCTATTTAACCAGATAAAAACAAGCCCTCGTTCATTCCTGTGAGCAGCTTCATTGATTGGACAGACAACCGTCAGGCAGAAGAAATGACAGACATGTTTTATTTCTCCGCTATCTGTTCTGAGGCAGGTATTTGTAGGCTGGCGCTCTGCTGGCATTAGAGCGCTCTCGCTGCCCACTGTGCAATCGCTGTCAGCTCTACAAACATGTAAAAGCAGCCAGTGTGACGAGGAGGGGCATGAGAACTGAATACTGATCATCTCATTCACAGTCGAGCCGCACACCAGCCACACTGGCATGTTTCATCACCTGTGCTATTTACCAACTTTTTGTTTTCTTTTTTTTTTTTTATCTCTGCATCCCACTACTTCACAAATTAGCCACTCATAGATCAAGCCATGTTCTTTCAATTTCTCATGTAAAAAAAGCTATATTCTACCAAAGGTTCAGAGAAGGACTGGGTGCCCTCTTTGTGAATGTGACTGGCTTTGTGTGTACACAATATATCATCTTTGGGAGATGTGTTAAACTCTGCAAGATACTGCACTTGGAAAATTCTATTGTAGCCAAAAAAAAAAAAAAAAAGCATGAGTATTCTGTAATTTGGTTTTTAAAAAAGTAGGCTACTGCATGCGTACAATATGGTCCTCAGAAAGGGTTGCATTGGTATTAAATTAAAGAGATACCATTGTGTTCTTTACACACATGGGTTTATAGGATCCTTTGGAAATTAATATATCCAATTGTAAGTATAATGTAGAAGTGTGACATGCAACCATTAGTTCCTCTATAGCTACATCTTTCAAATGGAAAATGTTTTCTACCTGTTCCAACAATGACAATGTCAAAATTAAAAAGCAATGCAGTCTATGGCAACTTCTTTTGAGTGCCCAACACCACCTCAGTTTATCATCTTGTTCAACAAATGATAAACAACCAAGGCAAAAAATAAAGAGATAAAAAAAAATTAAATGACAATAAACGATATAAACAGCATTTAAAGATTTAAGACACCAAAGGGCACTCCAAGGCAGAGCTGCTGTGGCAATCACAGACTTGGCAGTTTTCATAAAGAAACAGCAGAGCACTGGGATCGCACTGAAGCTGAGAAACAAATGCAGGAGACAGATTAGAGGTGAGACAAATAAATAAATAAACAAACAAACAAGTGACATGGGATGTGCAAGAGAGAGTCGTAGAGAATGGTTAAACTAGTCTGTGAGGAATCCCCATCAGCTGCTTTCTCTAACTCCTCTCCCTTTATGGAACCAAAGCCTCACCAGCGGGCCACTTGGCTTGTGTAGTCCTCAGTGGTGGCGGGGAGGTCCCCGTCAGTCCCTTTATTGACTCCTCCACCCCCTCTCCCCTCTCTATTTCCAACCCCCCTGTGCTTGAGCGGCCATGGCCTGCCCTGCTCTCTTTGCTCCCTTAACCAACGCCTCTCCTCACGCCTCTTCAAGCGCACCTCCTGGTGCTCCCTTTGCCGGGTGAACTGGAAACGCTGGAGGAACAGGTCCTTCGCATACTCATATAGCTGCACATCCAAGAAGTTGAGCTCCTCGATGCGTCTGCGCACGGGCTCGCTCAGGTCCACGTTGGCGGCTCGTGTGCTGTTGATTTGCGTGAAGGCGGAGATGAAGCGCAGGCTGAACGTCCGCTCAAACAGGTACTGCGTCTTGCGTTGAAACTCGGTCAGGCCGTAGAAAGCCATGTTCTTCAAATTGCTCATGGCACTGCTTAAAAGGATGTGGTTGCGCTGGCTCTCATTCATAGACGACAGGTTGTAGCAGCCCACCAGGCTCAGGTCAGCTAGCATTCGCACCTGACGGTTATTGGCCAGGTTGGACGGGCAGTTCATGAACTCTGTCAGGGTGACACCAGACCAGTCATCCCCGCTGTAGCAGGTGGGCAGCTCGTCCTGGGTGGGCGAACGTCCGTCACACATATGGAGGGCAGTCTTCCATGTGGCTCCGCGCTGGACGTGCTTCCATTCACTCAGGTAGCGGGAGACTGGGTCGCGCAGCATGGTGATGTAGTAGAAGTTCCTGCAGCCAAAGCAAACACAGAGAGTGTGAGCACATCATCATCACAGAGGGCTGCCCTGCATTGCGCTGACAGATGGTGACTTGTTTGTGTATGAAACTTCAAGGTTGAATTACTGGCAATCGAAAAGTCCCACTAATGAGATTATTAGAGTTTCCATATACCACCCTTTAAAATGAAACCCTTGCACCACAGTAATGACTTTACAAAACGGAGCTAAAACAGTTTCCATTCCACAGTTTTCTCCACTTGCCACTGTGGAGAATAATTGGGAATTGAGGCACAATAGTAATCATTGGACACAGGTGAGTAACACGGACCCAAGTAATCCCCAAACATGTCACTGCAACAAAATAATAAGGTTTCAGTTTTTTTGCCTCAGATTTGTTTCACTTTTAACTGGGTATTCCAGCCACAATTTGTTAGCCGACCGCAGTGGGGCATTTTACGGGAGAAAACACATTCTGCTGTCTGTTTGGTGGTGAAGAATTGGCAAATGAGCACTAACACTGCCCCTCCCCCAGAGAGGGAACATGCCCTCAGTCATTGTATAAGGGCAGTCAATGAACATGGAAGTCAAACACAGATGCTTTGCTTTGAATCATCAGTTTTCTGCACTGTCAACAAAGGAAAATTCAAAGAGAAGTTTGATAAAGGTGTGGCTGAGGAAGAATAGAACCCAGTGTCTACCCCAAGATTAATAGCAATATAAAAAAAATAAATCACATAGGTGCAGTGGTATAAATTATGTCTGATTTTAAAGTCGATATTCTGCTTTAGAGTGACCACACAAACCGGAAGCTATTGTACACCTGCCCTTGAAAACCTTCAAGAAAATCTTCGCTGCTGAAGCCCAAACAGGGCCTATGTCAAAGTGCATTCTTATGAAAACCAAAGATTGGACAGGTGTTGGCCAGGTAAACCATTCCTGAGATGAAGTCTTCTGAGTGGCATGTGAATATTTGATGGTGTGACCCTCTCTTTAGAGAGGCACCATCAGTCTGTGCTGATGAAATGGAGTGTGGTGCTGAGATTTCACACCTACTCCAAAGCTGCTGTCAGTGCTGCTTCAGTTCTTTCAGCACAGCAAACATCCACACGCAAGCAGCACAGTCTCTGTGCTTGTCCTTCAGAGTTCGATTCAGCGCAGATGATAAAGTAAAGGGTATTGGGAAACTGTGCACTCAGTAGAAGATTTTACTTAAACTTTATTCAGGCAGTTTTAAGGAAAATCTACTGCTTGGTTTGTTCAGTAACTTTCCCAGTCCTTTTCACTGTTATACAGTATATCATTATATATTGAATATTTTTTGGATTTTTGGTCAGACTAAACAAGAAATTGTAAGATACTGTATTATCTTGGGCTTTGGGCAGTAGTTGTGGGCATTTGTCAGTGTTCTCACACAATTAATAGATGATCAATGCATTAGTCAGTAGTCAACATAACTAGTTGCAGCACTAATCAGTTCCAGTACTACTTCCAGGAGCTTTATTATAGTGCATGTATCATTACAATAATCAGCTTCACTTAAAATCATGTTACGGCTGCTGTGGCTGGTAATAACAGGCTGTCGAACATCAACAGGCACATCTCCTCACGGCCGTCTGAAATGTGCGGTGTAAACTGCAGAATGAACATGCTCTCATATCAGGCTTAAAGTAAGTAATGTTATGGTTTGAGATAAAAACTTTTAATTGGGCAAATCAGGTTCAGCTCCAAACATGTGTTGTTCATTTGTTATCTCATGTTGTTCTATATGCACCCAAGATTAACCAGTTTCTTTAACTTCAGCCAAACTTTTTCTAGTTTTCCTACTTTGGCTCTGGCCATGTATAGGAACGGAAAGAATGAAACATTTTCTTTGACATCACACAAACATGGTTTGAGGTGAACATGCACTAGAAACCAGGAAAATATTAGAGTTGTATAAATATAGCAACATTATCTGACTGAACAAACTACAAGATTGCCAAAAGTGTCTTGAGATTATCTAGAGAAGATTTGTCCTTACAGTGCCACATGAATGCCACCGCTGACAATGTTACCCAGTATGAGTCAGGCAAGAATCTGTGATTAGAGCCCCGGTGGCTGTATCCTGGCGCTTGCTCCTGGAGTTGGCTGGCTGTAGATACATCCTCATTAGGCTGTCTCTAAGACACAAACACATGCAGCAAGTGTTGTTTAAGTGCACTCGACAGCCCAGAGGTCAGCTGTGTGCACCATCAGTGTCAGAATGCATCAGGATCAGCATGTCTGCAGAGCTGTCTCGAGGAGGCTTTCACTGAGTGATACAGCTGGCTGTTGAAGGGGGAGGGGGGCAAGCTAACAGGCTTTTACTTCCTCTGGCCTCTGCTATCATCAGTCCCACCCATCCAGTCATTTCACACTCATTATCAAAAGCACTGTGAAAAGTTTACACCGATGCTGCTTTCCAGTAGCTACTACTATAAAAACCACAAAAACATGCGGTAAGCCACTTTAATAAGACATATTAATACTGCGCTGTTTTGGATGGCTACGCTGACAGAGACACATCCCTTTGCCAAGATTTCCCAGTCCATTTTAGTGTGTTGAACTCAGGAAGCCATCTGAACTCCAGTTAATCATGGATCAATAATAGATAGGAGGCATATTGCAACTCATTTCACCCCAGAATACTCATATGTAAAGCAGCAGCACCAGCCACCAGTCTTCACTGGAGCACAAACTAAAGGGCCCATTAAAGAGAGATGGAAGAGGACTTCAAAAGTATGGATAAAAATGGAAACTCAAGCAAGGAATAATGAGTAGGGCAGACAAAGGAGCTGCCGCAACAAGCACATTCAAACTCAGAATAATTTTAATACATGTAGTTAATGGATATGGAAAGAGTTTGATAAATACATTAATGAAAGCCATGTTTGATACATCTGAAAACATATTTTACAGCAATTTCAGACAATGACTGAGAAAGAGATATGATATTCATCTAATGTTTTTTTTTCATTATGTTAGGTATTTTTAGTCAGATAGTGAGAATCACCAGGTAAAATATTTTATAACAGTCAAGGGTTGTGCTGTTTTGCTGCAGTGTGTGTTTTGTGAGTCATAGACCTGTTAATTTCCTATGTTTAATGTCATGGCATGTCACTAGAGGTCATGTGAGAATGTTTTTAGCTACACACCACTTAATCAACAGACACACACACATGTTGATTTGCTTCATGTTTTGACTACTGCTATGACCAGCTGCAAAGCTGGTAACCGAGACGTCTCGGTTGACGTTTCTGTGTAGTATGGGGCTAGCCCAACCGAGGGGATATAATGTATAGGCCTGGTGGGTTCAGGGTCTTTCATCTTACATCTGCCTGCGAGCAGTTTGGAGGTGCAAGATACCTGAGCGTGTAATGTTAATTTTACCTGTGATCCTTTGAATAAATCAGCACTGTTTTGAAGTTACTTGGACTGTCTCGTCTCTCAGAGTTAGCAATGGTAAGAAGAACCAAAATAGTTACACAACAATTAACAAGGTTCATGCTCTTAACAACTTATTAAAGGGCTACTTTCAGCATTACGAGGTCAGTACACTGCTGCAAATTCATACGACATCCTGATTCTAAATAACTTTAAGGGGTTTACACTGGAAAAATGCCAACAACTTATACCCAAAATAGTCAGTATGTGTACAAAAAACCCCACAATCTTTCAAGGTTGGTGGCCACTGTTCTCCTGCAATGAAATGCAATGCAAAAAGGTAAAAAAGAAAAGAAAAGAATGAATCACAAGTGTTAAAACATACAAAATAATTGAAGATGATGTTGGAACAGTTCCAGGAACACCTCTGGAAAAAAGGTAGCTCTTCATTTATTGTAAAAAAAACACCCATTGTGCTGTCTCTTTGTTAGGTTTAATTTGCAGTAGCATTCTAAAATCACACTTTGCCCTTGCACATCTCACAAATTGCACATTTCCTCTTAGCATAATACAGTTGAGTAAATTGACTTCCTGTATGCTAGCTAGAAAGTATATTACAGTTTTAGTGGTGCATGTGCTGTTTACAGTTACCATGTTTGGAAGTGGGACAGCCATCCTAGCAGCTCTGTGAGGTACAGTGGTGCTTTGAGTCACCATGCTAACATTCTTACAGTGACAATACTTTTTAATTTTAGTGCAATTCCAGGGGGGGAAATGTGTGCACTGAATTTTCATGGCGATCGATCCAAATTTCTCAAGATATTTCCCTAAAAATGAAGCCTCAATCCTCATGGTGGTGCTAGATGTAAAGTTGTGGAAGCACCAAAGTCATAACAGGGTTTATCTTCTGGGAACCATTAACATTTATACAAAATTTAATGGGAATCCATTCGGCCTGAACCAAAGTGGCAGACTGACTATGGCCATGGCATCAGCCTGGCTAAAAACAGCAAGCTCCTTATGAACATTGACCTAAACCCATGCAACACAAAGTAACAATTGCCAAACCACATTTCATCCCCAGAAAACAGTGCAATAGACAACTGGCTTTTAATTGCCTGTAATCAGCCTCAGTGACACTATTTCAGCCCACTGATTCTCCCTGATTACAGGCTGCTAAAAGGGGACATTGTACTTTGAGCCTGAACACATGGTGCTTGGAAGTGGATGAACCGAACCCCTGTCATCAAGACATTTATGTGGGGGAGTTGGATATTGTTGCAGGTGCTTGAGGGTGGGCTAGACAATAGGGAGAAGCAAAACAATATGTCTCCCTGAGCTGGGCAGAAAGTTGTTTAGAGCAAAGGCTAACAAAGTGAGCAGTAAATTAGAGAAGACAGACTGTGTCCCAGTGTAACAGTAGGACTGACTGACATTGTTGGGAAGACACTTTATACAGTGTGTGTGTGTGTGTGTGTGTGTGTGTGTGTGTGTGTGTGTGTGTGTGTGGAGTTGGAGTTTGAATCATGTGAAACCTCCACCGGTTTACACTCCACTGACTTCTCTGATTTATCCTCACAATGTAAAAGCATTGGTCTCTCTCCATTA